CTAGCAAAAAACACTTGCGTCGCGCCTGGTGCCGCATTGCGCCGGGTGTATGATAGGGCCCTTGATCTTTAAGCAGAAAGACAGTTGTCTAAGGCGGCAGTGGTCTCTGGTACGGCATAGGGATGAGTGGCACATATTTGGGGCAGCTTTGTGGGATTGTGCCCACTCTCTGTTCGTCCCTATTAAAAATGAATTGTCTTGCTGCTTATCTTTTTCCAAGCAGCTCCCTGTGCTACATTTTGCCACCCCCCGTCAATGTATAAACTACAACAATGTCTTGAAGCCAAAAATGTGGGTAGGATGGATGACAATAGCCCCGTACAGATCAAATCAAGTTAATCAAATCACAAAAGTGAATAAATTAATCAAATAAAACATTATCTACATCCACGCTTGACAGATGCTTGTGCTTGAGACTTTCATCACTAATTAGCAACTCTCACACCACTGCAGCTGCAAGCAGCAATGTGACGTCAATGGAAATCTTTTGTATTTATAGATTCATCTAAGATGCATTATTTCTGTGCCTTTGATTCTTCATTTTGGTTTGGGCACTTATTTTATTTTATTGTATTTTTTTGGAAAATATTTTGTAAAATTATTATTATTATTATTATTTTTTGGCATTTCGTTCCTTCCGAACACAATTAATTTTTCACAAGCCAATCAATTCTTGATGGGTAAAGTCCTGTCCAACATTTTTTTCTCATTAAATGTCCTGCTTTTGCTCTAACATGTCAGATTACGCAAACGATATGGTTTGTGCATGACGTTTGATGCTTACTTTAAGACGTTGATGTTGAATTTCAGAAGTCATTTCTGTCAAAAGTAATGAGAATTTGGTAAAAACGTCCTTTATAAGTGATTTGTGATGACTTCCACCTTAACAACTCTCAGGCCATTTCGGACAATTTCTGCTAAATGTCAGCTGTTTTCAGACAACTTACACTTGTTGAATAAAGTGTGCACTTTGCAGCCTATATTTAGACAAAAATGGATGGGAAAGCTTCAGAAATATACTTCCCGCTCTACTTTGTAATTTTTCACATTGATTTTATTCCACTAAACATAATCTGGAGTGCACGAGTGCACCAAAACTGACATTTTATTGTCAATCAAGTTCACTCAAAGATTGCAGGTCCAAATCCCATAAGTGACACATGTTGTGCTTCTCCTGTCAATCATTTTAAGAGAACTCAGAGGTCACAAAAATGCCCGAAGTATTAGATTCATCAGTCACATGTTTCAGTGTTTTATTTTCCCAAAAATGGATCAGAACATTTTGTTTATTGGTTGAAATTGGTTTGTGTTAATCCAAACCACTGTCGTTCTGTAAATTCAGCCCAGGCTAGTTGATAATATGCCATTCGTATAATTGCTAACATGCTGCCACGTAGCTTGGAATTTTCTCCGTCTGATTACAAGTAAATTCTTCATCTGGTTGTCTTTGCTTTGAAAGACATTTTGAAGAATTCCTGTCACATTATGACAGATTGTGGCCATTATATGAACTTATTTTATGTATTTTCTCATGCATAACAAGGAATGCATGATCAGTTAATCATACTTTCAAAATTACTTCGGATTTAATGCGTTCAGTTCCTCTTTTAAGGGATAAAAATATATAAAAGATGTCCTAACAACTATAAGATCCCGAGTTTGATTCCCAGGAAACACATATGAAATGCATTGCTTGAATGAACTGCAAGATGCTTTGGATAAAAACACCTGCCAAATGCATAAATGTAAGAATAATGTCCTCATTAATGTTGGCATGTAAAATACGGCAGTGTCATCATGTAACCTTGTGTCTCACAATGACTTTACTTTCGTTAAATGTCTCTATCTGGATTTGATTTATGAGTAAATTTGGTTTTTAAAGGGTCATCTATCAATCATTTAATTACAAACGAGATCATAAGATCTTGGCTCAGGAGAAACGTTTCTGTTGACTTTTGACTGGTCATGTATAAAATGCAATATAAGATCAAATGCAGCTCATGCACACATGTGTTTCATGCATCTTTAATGGATCTCAGATCAGATTAGACTAACAATGCATATAAATCTTTATAAAGATCATGACAGTTATTGACCATATGTGCATGCTAAATATGTGTGTGTGTTGTGTCCTTCAACAGTGCGTCCACAGGCCTCCATCTCCATAGACACTTTGTCTAACTGCAGTATTCTGGAGCTCGCAGATGAACCACAGGGTTGGACATTCGGCGACAGGATCGTGGTGGCCAGCACAGACTACTCAATGCACCAGGCTGAAGAGTTCAGCGTCTTGCCTTGTCCTTCCTGCACGAGGAACCAGATCAAGGTGGAAGGTCAGTTATAGCTCTTAAACTCTTCACTAAAGGTCTAAAGCAATGATGAAATTTAGGTGACTGTTGTCTGCCTGCTGCATCCAAAGTGCCACCCAGTTTTAGTGGTCAGCCGATATATCAGTCGATATATAGGATTTTTGGGATTCAGGATATACGTTTTTCTGTTTGGCCAGTGTGCCTGAAGCGGGACTTTTATTTTGAAAGTCTTCATTAGTTTGCGGTGTCTGTTTCGAACAGTTTTAATGATAATTTATTAGACCGAACTGTTAAACAAATAAAGTAAACTTATAAGGAAAAGTTTTATAGCATTTGCTTTTCTATTATTTATGGAAGCTTGTTTCGCCACTGGATGAAAAAAAAAGTAATTGCAACTCGTTTTCTTGCAATTCTGTTTATATTTCAAAATGAATGCTTTTTTCTCACAATTGCAAGATCTAAACTCAGAAATATGAGATGTGAACTCAGAATTGTGAGATATAAACTTGCAATTCTGAGAAGAAAAGTCCGAATTGTGAGATAAAAACTCAGAATTCTGAGAAAAAGTCTGAATTGTGAGATGTAAACTTCGCAATTCTGTTTTTGTTCTCGCCACGAAATAAAAAAATAAAGGTTTATTTTACAGATTTTTTTTAACAAGTTCAAATGATTTTTTTTAATATCAGTTATTTTAAAATTGTTATTTGAATATATAAATATGTAGAATAATTATAAATTAAATTTTAGCAGTTATTTGTGTTTTTATTATCTATATATTAAATAGTGATATCATATATGTCAGCTTTGTATCAGCCATCAGCCACTCTGCTCTCTAAGATATATATATAAAAAAACACTTTTCAGTCAACCACTACCCACTTTAGTTCATCTAGGTAGTACATTTGTGTGCAAAAGTATAGACACCCTGTTCAAAAAAACATGTTTTGTTAACAAAATCTATGCAGTGAGCAAACTTATTTTTGCATATTTTAGTGCACAGTTACAAACTATTTACTGATTTCAATGAGTAAAATAATTACAATTACCTGCACAAAATAATTATACACATTGTTGATTAGTCAAGTCACCTTTATTTATATAGCGCTTTATACAATACAGATTGTGTCAAAACAGCTTTATAGTGTTTTAAGCAGGAAAAACGTGTGCTGATAATGCAAGTGGACAATAGAAATCAGTCAGTTTATTATTAGTCTTACTCAGCACTTACATAAATGCACAGAAACAGGGATGCTGGAGCCTAAAGTGCATGGGGCTGAAATAGCAGCTAGCTGATTGCCGTCTTTGTCTGTGACACTTCAGTGCTGTCAACAGGATTTCATCATGGCAATTCAAAACTAGGTGATTGGAGGCATTAGATGGAATTTTGCATTAGAGAAAATGTTGAGTTCCAGCAGTTAGAAAAAAACGCTTCCTCACAGGCGCAAAAGTGTTCGGATTTCAAATAAACGCCTTGTAAAAATCCCTTCATCCTCGTCCTGCCGGGGTTTGGAATGTCTTACATCAGATTCAGGAAAGCACATCGCACTCAAAAGTGAAGATGACTGTTCTGGAGAACTTTGAGGCTGAAGTGTGTGTGTGTGTGTATGTGACTTTTCGTTCTGATGTTTAAAGCTGACCTGTGTTTATCCTCGTTTGGTTTAATTATATTCAGGAATTTTACTCAACAATGGTTGAGGTTCAGAGCCTGCGGAAAGTACTTCCTCTGTTGAATTCCTTTGAATTTTTTCCTGCTACACCTCCTGATTTTAATGCTAAAATAATTTTCTCCAAATTAGATGTAGCGCATCAGTGGACTGCAATTTCAGCAAGCCATACCACCAATTCAACTGGATTGAAGCCTGTGAAGTCTAGCTGGGCCTTTCCAGAATACTAACCTTTTGTCAAGCTGTTTAATAGGCTCTGTTTCAAAATATCTTGAGCCGCCTACGTAGGCAGCATTTTAATGCATCATAGACGTGCTTCATATGCTACATAGACGGCGCCATTAGGTACCTTCTTTTTGGAGATTTTTTGTGGATCCTCCACAATCATATTGCACAAAACTGATGTCACACAAAATCATGTTTTCCTTGATTATTTTTCTCTGTTTTTTTCTGCTCTCAAGACATTTTTTGCTCATATTTTTATTTTTTGTATGCTTATGCTGTTTTTCCCATCGCTCTTGTTTCCACGTTCTGCACTTGCTTTTCCAAATGTTGCTGTTAGAGTTTCATGTAAATCAGGGCGGGTTTAAGCGTCATCACTGGTCCACTAGTTCTTGATTGACAGCTCCTCCTCTAGCCAATCAGGCGAAGAGGGGCGTTGACGTCACTCCAGTGTGCCTCATTAACTGCCGATGCTCAGTGTTGTTCACTTGTACAGGTGAAAATGGATAACTGTCAGCTGGTAAACATCTTTCCATACAGGACACCATTATATGTGTCTGCCTATCACTGCTGTAGGCCTACCTGGCGATGCCTGTCAATCTAAGAACTAGTGGACCAATGATGACGCTTAAACCCGCCCTGATTTACATGAAACTCTAACCGCAACATTTGGAAAAGCAAGCTCAGAACGTGGAAACAAGAGCGAAGTGAAAAACAGCATTAGCATACAAAAAACACAAATATGTGCAG